AGTTTTCATACGTAGCTTGCCAGGGTTCATCTCATCTTTTCATCACGTAGATTTCAGCCACACAGGATAGTCCACTGTTAACGAACCGTGTGGGCTAGGCTGAGAAAAGATGCGCAAGTGAGCCAAGTTTGCTAAATGGTATGTGCCAGGGGACACAGACACCTTTACCACCCCTCTGCTCCCATCAGAGGGGACACAAAGACATTCCACCTAATACTTAAGCAAGCAACGCTACAACTGCCAGGTGGCTGAGGGAAATCAGGAAAGGTTTCAGACCGTGGCAAGGTCTAAACCATGTTGGTCAGTTAAGTAGGTTACTTTAGTTGTAGACAGTACTGATACGAGCTCTTTTCAGTAGATGGCACAATGGACTTGACTTTTGGAAGCAACGTTCAAGATGGGGTTTGTGGTCCCTCCGTAATTTTTTCTTAATAAAAACAAAACACTGATTAGAAGACACATGGCAAGTATTCCCTTCTGTGCTGTTTACAGAGGGCTCAATTCACTTACTGTCCAATTCTGTGACCATCTCTTAGATGAATATCAGAATCATGATAAAGAGAGAGAACCAGTAAATAGAATAGAAACATTACAAGGATGGCTTAGACATTCACTGAGTGTCTACCACAGGCTTGAACCAGTCTACAAATCCTGACCCACTGAGCTATGAGCAACTGCTATTTACCCATCTTGCCAAAGTGAACCAAACACACTTCACTGAAGACAGACGGCGCAGTTCCTCACTTTGACCACAGGGTGTATCCTATCACTCTTCATTTGTTATTGGCAAATATACGCTTGCATCTTTCCAGAGAGAGTTTCAAAGATAGCCTTTTCTTTGAGACAGAGGCACATTGCTTAACTGCATAACAAGGTTTATTGCCACCTGCACTCAGGAGGAAAGACAGCGATTGCAAATTAATGTGTGCTATTTTATAAAAATTAACTTTTGGGGTGTATGAGTGTAGGTCTAAGTAAACAATGCACACACGTCATTCAAAACTGAATTGCAATGATCAGAAGTGGCCGTGCTGGACATCACAAAAAAGACACCTTATTGCCATCAAGAGAACTCTTTCTTGCATCCAAAACCATAATACCGTCTTTCATAGTAAGAAAAAAAAAAATTAACATCTGAAATTTGAGATGATTAAGATTAGCTGAACTGGTTTTCCTAATTTCTATGCCTTGGAGCTTTTTAGAGTCTTATTTCAAGTTGAAGAGTCCAGCAAGGTCAGAGAAGGCTATGGCATTTAAGGTCTGGCTGTTGCAGTTTATAGCCCAGAGTGACATACTGAAATCAACAAATAACCTTAATTGTTTTATAATGACACAGCACAACTGCCTTGTTATGAATTTTTTCTTAAATGCATATATACTGTATTTAAAAATTAAAATATAGATACCAATTTACCAAAGATACATATTACTAATTCTAAGCAAAAAATTGAAAAACAGAAACCCAAGTTCATCATAATTTAAGAAATCATAATCAAAATGTAGTTTGTCTTAAGAATTTAGCAGTTATACTGGAAAATACATTTTCAACTCCTGTCTCCTAAAGTTTATGTTCAAATGGTGCCAGTGACTTTTTATATGAAGGGAAAACGCCTGCTTTTTTTTTTTTTTTTAAAGCTGTAATTTCACTTACCCCTTTGCGCTTGCCCTTCGTTGCCATTTAACATACAATACTGGCTTTACTTATCTCTAGAAAGAAGGCATGCTACCAATAGGAGGGAACTGTAATAAAGATATTTGGCCTCTACTTTGTCTTAGCTGTCAAAACTGTTTTTAGTATTTTTGTTAAATATTTGCAAAGGGAAGCATTTTCTACAGAGGATAATTAATTTCAAGAAAAATATCTTGAGTTTTAAGAAATAAACGTCTCCAGAAAAGGAGACAGTCGATTTTATAAAATGGCGCAACTCTCCAACATTTGGGGTAGTGACTCCTTTTTTGTTAGGACATTTGAAACTAGCAAGCAGCCATGGTTTCTAAAACAAAAAAACAAAAAAACTCAGCCTTCGTGTTGATTCATGTTTCTTTCACTTCATTTTGAAATAGCTAAAATCATTAAAACTGTAAATATTTTGTTGCTTGGATAAGCATCTTCTGGGAACTTTGTATCTATGGTATATAATCATAGAATTTTATATTTTCATATAAAGCTAATTTTTTTCTAGTTTCAACTCTGTCATAGTTTTTTTTTTTCTTTGTGGTGGATACGTGAATTCAACTTTCTGTGTATTGAAGTAGCAAGAACCATCTTTGCATTCCAAAAGAATCCAACGTGTGTTATTTCTTTGAGGCAGTGATCGTGAAAGTTGGGTTTTTTTCATTTCACTGACCATTTGTGCAATAGGATTAGACATAATTATTCACTGAATACATTCATTGCATTGACCCATTTGGAAAAAGTGGTGTTGTTTTTTTTAATTTGTTCGGGGGGAAGGGGTTTTGTAACCTGAAATTTTTCCCTTTTTTCTTCTGTTTAAAACTATATCAAATCATTCTATTATAGTGTTATTTAATATGTAAATTGTATTGCTATACATAAAATAAAGTATGGTTTTTGATGTATTCATTTAGTGCTGAGCATTTCTATCAAAATAATCTATATCCAAAAAAATCAGTTACTTGTTTCTCTTAACAGGTCACATTTATACCCACTGACCCTTGGTCTTAGTTTTTATGGTAGTAAATTGATTGCTGGTAGTCATCTTTACATAAGCAGAAAACCAAAAAGAAATGGCTTTTCTGAGTTCTTCCTCCTTTAGAGAGTAAACGATGACACAGTTTTACCTGCATATTGAATCAAACTTTATATCCTTTATGAGTCTGCTGCTAAGTTACTAGAATTATTTCTCCATTTTATCAACTAGATTTGTAGCAATTTCTCCCTATTAACATTTACTCTGTAGGATGAAGGGTATATCCTGGCAAGACTTTGGGAGAATTTATGAAATGCTTACATACAGCATCGCTACAATTGCTTCTACTTTTGAGGAATTCTGACATTTCCAAACAGGGGTCCCAAACTTGGCAGCTGTTTGGGCCCACTGTTCTCTCTGAACTTTTACAGGCCCCACATTTGGATTTCAACTCTTACCATCAGGGCTCCCAATTTTTCCTTCCATAGAGAGAAAGAACTGGGAGTTCATTCTCCACAAGTAACTGGAATTTAAGAAACAATGTATTGATCTTTCCCAGTGGTGTCTGGAAGAAAGACCAGTCCAGCACAAAAGAATGAATCTCTCTAATGATATAACTCAAGTCTTCCTCACATTCCATCCATGGGGACTCAATACTCCGTATCACAGAGTCCACAGGAGGTCACAAATTGATGACCTGTAGATCATAGTCGCTACAGATATATTTAGG